AGAGCTGCCGGATGAAGGCTGGTGCGGATAAGAGCAAAGCCGGGCGCTCAGAGGGCCTCAGCAGCCGGTCACCCCGAGAAGCAGTCCCACCCCGGAGGTTAGGGCGAAGCTCCTCGTTTGGAGGTACCAGCAGTTGATTTGGGGCCGCAGCCTCCCCTCACTGCCTCCCTGTAGGGGAGTTCATTTTCAGGGGACGCCTGTAACCAGGGGAAAGGGATCGTCTACCTGGTCATGCCAGAGTGAAGGTCAAAGGTGATCGATGGGACTTGTTCTGCCACGAATACGACTGTCCGCTCCACTGCTGTTTCCATTGAACCGTCTTCCAAAAGAGAACATTTCCCTCCACGTTCCCTACCCGCTTCCTTTCACTAGCGAACACTAGCGCTGGAGGGAAGACTTTTGTTGACAAGTTTGAAGGGTCAGATTAAAAAATCAATTTGCCTGACAAACTCAAGCAGTGAGTCTGTAAGGAGGCCTCCCGGTCATTGCAGTATAACCTCACAAAACAAGAGGTGTTAGAGGCCGATGAAATGTCGAGGTCTGTGATGCTAGAAGCAGCCACCGCGGGAGGAAGCCTGGGACAGTGTGAAAGGGTTTGTGTCTAATTGGCTGTGAATGCCACAGCACCGTGCTCAACTCTTTGTGGAGATGGTTTCAACTCTCTTCACTAAGCATCACCCATTACCCACAATTCCAGGAAGCAAACCTTTTCTAAAACTTTTTCCCTTGTTACAACGTTCGTGGAATTTCTGCTCACGTGAATTGACCAGATGCCAGAGGGCAGCACGCTCATCCTTGGTCTGCATGAGTGAGACACAGGAAGGCGGCTTCTTGGGGGCGGTGGGCACCCGAGGACATAGGAAGAGAAGATGCTAGAAAGACCAGAGCGCATGGTTCCTTTTGAAAGCCTCTACCATTACCTGATGGGGTATATATCAGTGTTTGCAAGCTTTTCATTTTGTTTGCCAGAACCGATAAATAAAATATAAATGTATTTACACTGTGACCGGGCCACACTCCTACACACACACACACACACACACACACACACACACACACACACAGCTTAAATAATGTTTCACAGAACTGAGGCTTACGGAGGTCATACAGTACCAGGGCCAAAAGCGGGAACCAAGTGGTCTAACCTCAGAGCCTGAACTCTTTATCACTGTGGCAAATTTTTTTTTAAAAAAGAATGTACTTCTAAAATAGCCAGCGATTGGCTGTAATTTGAAATATTGCCTTGCCCTAGCCGGTTTGGCTCGGTGGATAGAGAGCGTCAGCCTGCGGACTGAAGGGTCCCAGGTTCGATTCCGGTCAAGGGCATGTACCTTGATTGCGGGCACATCCCCTGTGTGGGGTGTGTAGGAGGCAGCTGATCGATGTTTCTAACTCTCTATCCCTCTCCCTTCCTCTCTGTAAAAAATCAATAAAATATATATTTTTTAAAAAAGAAGGAAATATTGCCTTTTAGATTAAGCCCAGAGGCTATAACCTGCTTATAAATTGTGATTCAATATTCCCAACAATTTCTAACCTAACTTTTAAAGATTTGCCTTGTGTACCAGATGCATAGAATCAGAGAACTTTACTTTTTTATTTTTTTACAATCTAGTCTAGAAGGAGTCCAGCAGGAGATACTTCAGTGAAAAGAAGAATACACTGTAGCTGTAGGCAGAGACTCCATGGGATTTTTTCTTTTTAAATATATCTTTATTGATTTCAGAGAGGAAGGAAGAAGGAAAGAGGGAGAAACATCAATGATGAGAGAGAATCATAGATTGGCTGCCTCCTGAACGCCCCCTACTGGGGATCAAGCCCACAACCCAGGCATGTGCCCTTAACTGGAATCTAACCTCAGACCCTTCTGTCCATAGGCTAATGCTCTATCCACTGAGCCAAACCAGCTAGGGCAGAGACTCCATGGGATTTGTTTCATGCCCACCCCGAGCCCCTCACTGCCTTTCCTCTGAGCTCTTGGGCCCTCTGGCTCTCTCACCTTCCAGAAAGGTCCCATGTGCACTTGCTCCAGCACTGGGCTGCTGCTTTAGGACACAAGACCCCAGTTTTCGATCTGTAGCTATAAAGTGTACTGTATTTTTACCTTTCTTACTTAAAAGGGGAAAAAAGACATCACCTTATATTCAAATGAATATGGTACATGCTAGAGCTCACCCGTGAGTCCCCTTGCTGTGAGTTTGCCTATCTTGAAATTCTAGGAGGGTTGAGAGCATGCGGCTTTCATCAGATGAGTGTTTGAGAAGCCCACCCTGGAGAAAGGGTACATCTAAAATAAAATAAAAACGGAAACAACAATATTCTGGAACCAGCAGCTGCCATCCCCCCTCTTCCGTTGTTTCTGGGCCTGATCCAATGGCCCTGCACGAGTGCTGGAACGCAGTGAGGATGAGAAAGACAGTTCATAACAGAGGGCGCCTTCATTAGAGTTCATGTTTCAAAGCCAGGGACAGGAAGCATCGGACGACACGCAGTGAGACACATTGATGTGTGGGACATAGGTTTTTAGCAGAGGGAGAATAAAGTCCATACAAATCATAGAGCCTGGGGAAACTTGACATTATTTATATATTATTCTGTAATTCTTGGCTGAATACATATTTTATTTATCCAAGAAGCTATGCTAAATATTATGTCAGAAGAAATCTGACTTGAAATATAGACTTGCAGACTTCCACGTATGTATTTATGAAACACTTTCCCCATCTCCGCCCAAAAAAAACCATGAATTTGGTGTACATATGTTGTGCCGAACTGATTGCCAAAAGACTATCTTCATACATAAAAAGGCTAATGCATATGAACCCATTTGCATCAAGAAACTCTCTTCCATTCCTGTCTTTTCAAAGCGACTGCGGCCTACAATACCCAGCTCTCTGAATAGGTCTAGGTCAGGAACAGTGGGCGGGAGCATCAGAGAAGAGATGGTGTGAGGATGGACCGGCACACAGAGAAGGTGGAGGGAAAGAAAGCATCTCGGAGGAAGAAAGTACTGCTGCCTGGTACTCCTAGCAGAGATGTGCAGCTTATTGTGTCCATGCCGCTCGCCGGCCGAAGAAGCGCAGGCTTCAGTGGTGACAAGCTCATCCAACGATGGGAAGGAGAGAGGCTCCTCCTGAAGGAAAGTATTTGAAGCAGAGAGAAGTCAAGATGTTTTTGAGACGTGGTTCAGACAAGGATGCAATGGGGCATGGGGTACTCTGAAAACAGATTAGCTCATTTTTAATGCTGAAGTGTTGAAGTAGCGTCATCCCAATAAATGGATACTTACCCCTAGGGCAAAGAGTCAAGAAGCCAAGTTCATACACTAAAGCCAGAGTTGGCCTCCTGGTCTGTGGGAGCTGTAATTAGTTTTTTCAGGGGCAGAGGGTACAGTAAACTCAGTCACATAAGATCTGGGTTCACGTTCCCACTCCATTTTACTTGGTGTTAACTAAGGCCTCAGAGAGTTACTTAATTGTCTTTTAATCTGCCTTACAGGTTGTGGTTAGAAATAAGAATATATCAGGTACTAAGCAAGTGCTTACTGTGAAAAGGATAAGTGATATGATTCAAATACAAATGAAATTATAAATGGAAGTTCGTGGCTTTGATTCCCACATAAGCTCATTACCATTGTATTAAGATTCGGGGGCAAATCCAGCCAGTTATCTGGCAATCATGGACATGATTTTTTCATACTTTACCTTACTCTAAATATTTTGGTATGAACAGGTCACTACCTAAATGTTAAGCCACTATTAGAATCTGATACTGATCATTTAATTATAATACAACCTCATGTACTATTTCTAGAAACACCATTGTAAATAGTACAATGAACTATAATTGGATTATCCTATTATTGGATTTTGCTGTTTTAAAGGGAGGAAAAAGGAGGAGGGAAGAAAATAGCTAATGAAACAGAAGAGCCCATAATCTTATCTTTTGAGATTTTTGTGTCCTTTGCATGGTTTTTTCCATCTAGAGAGGCGTCAAGATCTGATCTGTTTGACAGGAAACCTTAAAAGTCATGCCTCCTAAGATAACACCTTGCCTGAGGTAATCTGTGAGCCTGTCCTGAAAGTGAGGAGAAGAATGTTTAACATGACATGAGGTACTCCAGGCCTGTGGAACAAGGTGATGGAAAGCAGGGTCCAAAAATGAGGACCACACCCAAATACTTCTTTATAAAAGTTTTGAATAGACGAGATGAAATGAAACAGCAAAGAAGCAATTGGAGAACTTAGGCCTTATAATTCAATTGTACTTTAAATACAAATTGAAGCATTCTAGCTGGTTTAGCTCAGTGGGTAGAGTGTCGGCCTGTGGACTGAAAGGCCCTAGTTCAATTCCGGTCAAGGGCATATGCCTGGGTTGCAGGCTCAATCCCCAGTAGGGGACATGCAGGGGGCAGACAATCCATGATTCTCTCTCATCGTTGATGTTTCTATTTCTCCCTCTCCCTTCCTCTCTGAAATCAATAGAAATATATTTTTAAAATAATAATAAAAATGTAATGGCAGTTAATCTGTGTGAGTCACCACAGTGCTTGGATTTGAGATATGCTTAGATTATCCTGCCTGAAAATGTTTGTAAGTCTCTCTTCATCCAAGAGCACATACATGTACACGTACACACACACAACATACTACTTACTATTCACACTCATAGCTTCTCCAACTACTGGTAGTGGTAACCGAGGAAAGAATTTTATAGCTTATTCAAATCATTCAAGAGACATGTGAAATCAACTCTTGAGGCAGAAAACGGGTGATTGTGTGTTTGCGGGGCAGCTGGTGCTTGGCCATTCTGTGGCTTTTCCCCTTCACCTGAGATGCCCTGATTAAATTTGCCACCAAGTTCTCATACATGTATGAAATCCCATTGTCAGGTGGGATGCGCGTGAGGACGTGTAGAAGGAGATACTGTTCCCACTCCCTTTCTCTGGAGAATTCCCTGGACTGACTTCCTGAGAATCTCCTTCTGTTTGCCTTCACCAGGAATGGCGGCTCTGGATAGAAAGGCATCGGGGAAGATGGGAATGCGCGCTGTAGTCTATTACATGACTACGACCATCATCGCCGTGGTGATCGGCATAATCATTGTCATCATCATCCATCCCGGGAAGGGCACAAAGGAGCACATGCACAGAGAAGGCAAGGTTATACAAGTGACGGCTGCAGACGCCTTCCTGGACTTGATCAGGTACGTCCTCGCAAGCCCGTCCCGTCGGGTGCATTTTGACCACCCAACCCCTCTTATTTGGGGGAGCTGATCAAGCCCTGAAAGTGGGGTCCAACTGAGCCCGCCTTGCTGGCTTAAAATGGCCGCGTCTTTACTTTGTTCTAACAGAAATTAAAGTTCGGATCCATATCAGTCTTATGTAGAAGAGGTCAGAAGAGCAAGGAGTGGACATAGATGGATTTTGAGAGCCCTGCTTTCAGGATTTAAATCTGATCACTCAGTTCCCCTCTCAACCCTGCAGCTCACCTTGGAATATTAATAATTCTTTACTTACTTTTCTCAAGTCTTGCTTTTTAAGGCTAGTTTTTATTCAAGTGTAGCCTGTTTGGACTCTTCTAATTCAGAACCTGTGATCTGTATTATCATTCATTATACATAACAATTTCTTTCCAAAAGGGACTCTAGAGATCATCTAGTCATTTCTATTTCAAGTTTTTTGTGTGTGTTTTTTTCTGTTTGTTTTTTTGCACTGTTTATGAGAATGGAGTTGGCCGATCAGTAATAAAAGGTTAAAGGATGACTTCTTTAGCATTAGTTTCTGTACAAAACACACACTGATTACAATTGAGTCTTATCTAATATTGAAACAGACTTGGTGATAGAATTGTTCTTACATGGAACTATGACTTATGTCAAAGTTTGATCCTGGAACCTCCTGCTTGCTCGCTCTACCTTTGCATCAGTCAGGTCCTGGCAGGAAGCATATTGCATTTTCAAAAGGATCACTGAAAGGGACTTGCACCGGTGCAGGCAGAGTTAAGGGAACTTATAAGGGATGGTGGGACACCAGGGGACTAACAGCAATAGGAAACTGTTCTGTTACTACCTCTAGTCTGAGGGAGAAAGGCAGGAACTGTTACTGGAACTCAGGAAGAGCTGTGGCCGTGGGAAAGGCCCTGGGGAGATGAGCTATAGCTCTAGTGTAGAGGGAGGGAGCTGCTGCCCAACCTGTTAGAGAGAGAGCTGGAAGAATATGAACACCCACTTCTCTCTCTCCTACTCTGTGATCTTTCAGTGATGGCGAACCTATGACACGCGTGTCAGAGGTGACACGCGAACTCATTTTTTGGTTGATTTTTCTTTGTTAAATGGCATTTAAATATATAAAATAAATATCAAAAATATAAGTCTTTGTTTTACTATGGTTGCAAATATCAAAAAATTTCTATATGTGACATGGCACCAGAGTTAAGTTAGGGTTTTTCAAAATGCTGACATGCTGAGCTCAAAAGGTTCGCCATCACTGGTCTAGACAAACCCAACAGGAAGCCATAGGCAAGAGAACCCACGTGCTGTAGTCCTGTGTCAGCCTCCCAGGGCACAGAGCAGCATGGAGGGTGGATCTAGAAGGGCAAATGGAAGATATCCCAGCACAGGCCTCTAAATTCCCACCTGCTTGGCATCCCCCACCCACCATGTAACCCCACCCAGACTGTCAACCCCAAACCTAGCCCTTTCCTCCCTTCCTTATAAACTTATTGGCAACGTAACTGGTGTACCAATCCTAGATACCAACCCTATGGGGATCCCCATTGATCATCTGAAGAAAACTCCTCCTAGAGATTGTATCTCATATGCCAACTCAGCAACCGGGTCTGTGACAGGTGGATTCAACAGGGAGTTGGGGAGCAGAGGGCCTCTTTGGCCACACTTCTCAATTCCTACTGTGGGTGACTTTGTACCGTCTGTAGGTAAGCATGACCCAGCTTCCCAGGGCCTCTTCTTGAAAGTCTTGTTCAGGGAGTTAATTGCAAAGACCTGAAGATAACAAGCTACCCTATACAATTTCATATCAAGTTGTCACCCAGTAGCTATCTCTTATTCTGTTCATACAGTTAATTAAGGCTTTTCACCATTTTTTTCATAACTATTTATCCTCAGGTAGCTTGAATTAGAAGTATTTTATATAATCTCTTTCAGTTCAGTTTCTATTCCTTGTTTGAAGAGTTGGGATCTTGTCATTCCCAATCTGGTTGACCCATCAGAGTACCATATGTTCTGCCCTTCCTTGCTGCAGTGGTAACTATGTGACTAACCTATTCCCACCCAGTCACGTGGCTTAAACATTCATCCTAGAATCTCCTGAACTCACATTTCTCTTGAGGATTATAGAATCAGAGCCATAGGGTGTAGATGGAAAAAGGATGGTCTAGGCCAGTGGTCGGCAAACTGCGGCTCTTGAGCCACACGCGGCTCTTTGGCCCCTTGAGTGTGGCTCTTCCACAAAATACCACGTGCGGGCGTGCATGTACAGTTCGATTGAAACTTCGTGGCCCATGTGCAGAAGTCGGTATTTTGTGAAAGCCACACTCAAGGGGCCAAAGAGCAGCATGTGGCTCGTGAGCCGCAGTTTGCCAACCACTGGTCTAGGCAGTAGGAAGAAAGGTATAAGAATTTCTAAACTTCAAATATGACTTTTACAGCATACAACTGCTACAATGTCAGACTCTACAACTGCCTGGCCATGTCTCCTTCCCCCACAGTCTTCACTCTTGGAGCTCTTATTAGAGTGTAAGCCCATTTCCTCCTTAACAGATGAGTCACTGAGACTAAATGGGTGCCATGACTTGACCAAGGTCACACATCTGGTTAGAGACTCCTCAGCTAGAGTGTGGCTCCTTATCTTCTCCCTGCCATAAATTCAAACACTGCTCGGAGGAAGTGACAGATCTTACCACAGAGGCCTCAAGGTCAAATGTTGTGGTCCTTCCTCCCATTAGTCAACAGAAGAGCCTCAGAAGCTCCAGCAATTCAGTGTCAATGTCCCATCCCCCAGTGGACCTCCAGGAGTAACTCTTGGAGAACAAAATCCCACAGTCTGACCATGACATGGCACCATACCACAGTGGCCATTACTGAATAATAACTGCAATTAACCAGAATGCTTTTGACAAAAGGCATTTCTATCCTCACTTTGATTCTTCCAAGGAACAGGGTTTTGATAATATATTGTCTGAACGAAGAATCCCATTGTCTGACAAGAGGATGGGTGAGTTAAATTTGGGACTTCCCTGAAAAATATGAACTACATGGGCCACACTTAGGGATGATCATATGCCGCATTTTAAGTCATAAAAGCCGCCAAAATCTTTCTCTTTTTCCATTTGCTGCTTAGCTCAATGCAGTTTTCCCTTAGGCAGAATGAAAAGGTATTTAAGGCATTAACTTATTATTTGGGAAAATTTTTCAAGTGACTGTTATCTTCTTTGCAGGAATATGTTCCCTCCAAATCTGGTGGAAGCCTGCTTTAAACAGGTAAACACTCTACAGCTACTAATTACCTTAGTGATTCCTCTGTGGCACACCAACACAGTGGGACCCTCTTTTATATTTTATTTTTGTCCATATCTCTGCAATAAGAAACAACATCTCCACCAGATGGGAAAGTACTAGAGTTTTCTAATGAATTTAGGAAGCAAGGGTGGGTCTTACCTTACACTGAATGCTTATTAGTTGCCAAATGCTGCATGTCTTACAAAGAGCTTATTGAATCTCTGTTATTTATACAAAGGCTAATCAGGACACTCCCTCTCTCTTCCCACCCCCACCTCCCACACACACAAGCCCACCAGCAGGCAAACTCCAATATGAAATGCATTTACAAGCTGTTTTAAAGGTTACGGAGATTATTCAAGTTTCTGGATTTGATTTTTTTAAAATCATTGGGCCATTTTTTAAAAAGTCTGCTAAAGGCTTATGGATTCTAAAGGAGCAACCATATCAGAAGGAAATGGAATCTTTAGGAACTGAGCGCCACATAAGTATGACGGATGTCATTGTCTTCATTTCATTGATGAGGCAGCTCATCGAGGATAACTCGGGGGTTATATGTATAACCGGCACAAGCTCTCACAAGTAGTAAATGACAGACCCCGATTCACATCCATTGTATTGACTCCAAATTCTGTCATCTTTCTGCTCCAACAATCTGCTTCCTAGGAAGGGATACCCCACCTGGAGGCTATAGTGAGCTCCAGTTCCTGTTAGCCTCCGATATCGAAGCAACTCCTGGCCCTCTGTGTTTTGAATACAAATACATTTTACTATTGGGGAGAAACTCCGTAAAGTTCATTCTAACCTCACTTGAATGAAAAAAAAAGCTTTGTTGCCCAGATATTAAAAAGGAAATAATTAGACTTTCTGGGTTCGATAATAGTTCCCAAACATTTTTCCAGATGGTGTCAGTTTGCCTGCATTATAAGACCCTAACCCCTCTGCTTAGGATCGGTAAAGCCAACAAAACAAACTCCCACTTCATGAAGGACCAAGTTTTAGACTTATAAGCCACCCTTTGTTTTTCTCCCCCTTTTTAAAAATTCTATTGACTATTTTTAATAGGTAATGCATGCACACACTGCAAAATTCCAACAGAACCCTTTCTTTAAAAAAAAAAAAAAGAAGAAGAAGAAGAAGACCATGAAGCCAAAATCTAATTCCTTTTATTCAAAAACAACTGTAACCATAAATAAAAAACCCTTTTCAATCTGACCAGCCAAACCCAGTACTCTGGGGCTGGCTCTTCTAGTTAGTCAGCTGGCACTGGGCGACATCAAAAATGCTGGTTTCTGGCAGCACTGGGGAAAGTGCTGATGACTCGTGGAGATTTCTTGCACTTGGTTTTGGATTCCCTTTACAGGATTTTGAGGGGGAAGCAAGTATAGTTTCCCAGAAATTGCCTGTGGCTGCAATTTCTTCATCAACATGAAGGCCAGAAATTCTCACATTAAAATCATAGAGGGATGGGGGCTTTATTTGGCAATACATTTTATTTGGTAATATACTTTATAGCTCCTGTCTGGAATGTTTAGGATCTATGGGGAAAGACCACCTTCTGAATAAAAGCAGAAATACCACTAGGGACTTGAGAAGTGGGTTCAACTATTAATCAAGCACCTGTTCTTAAGAACTGATATTCTCAGGGATGCTTTAAAGACTGCTGTTTGGAGATTTAAGAATTTTAATACCCACTGAAATCTCCAACTGAGTCTAGTCAGTGAAGGGCCCTGTTATTGAGCACCATTAGCCACCATTAGTTTAGTACTTTAAAATTTACAAGGTGTTCTCATATATTCTATTTAATTTGATCATCATAACAACCCTGTGAGGTAGAACCATCACAGTTATCCCTGTTCCACAGCTGAGGAACATGAGCAAAAAGACGTTAGGTGATTTGTCCATAATCCCATAGCATAAACCCATTGAGGGTAAAGGGATATTGTGAATATTTGGGTTTATAGTGTTTTTTTTTAAAGCTGTTATACTCATTTTATTAGGGCTTCAGAATAAAGCAAAAGCACATCTGTATATTTAGTTAAACATCTTCAACCAGATATATCTTTCCTATGATGGTTTGTTATGTGTGTGTGTGTGTGTGTGTGTGTGCTGAGGAAGTAGTAGGGGTTTGTCAGAGATTAGATAGATAGATAGATAGATAGATAGATACTTTCTTTTAAAAAATATTTTTATTGATTTCAGAGAAGAGGGAAGAGGGAGAGAGAAATAGAAACATTAATGATGAGAGAAAAATCATTGATTGGCTGCCTCCTGCATGCCCCACACTGGGGATTAAGCTCACAACCCTGGCATGTGCCCTAACCAGGGATTGAACCGTGACCTCCTGGTTCATAGGCCCACAGTCAACCACTGAGTCACACCAGCCAGGCAATAGATACTTTCTATAACACTATTATTTGACTGCAGAGTAATGTGTATAATATAAAATTTTGGACAACAGAAAAGTATAAAGCAGAAAAAAATCACCTTTAATCCCTGTTGTGCCTTTTCCTTTTAAGTTTAAAACCAACTATGAGAAGAGAAGCATTAAAGTGCCCGTTCCGTCTAATGAAACGCTCCTGGGTGCCGTGATCAACAACGTGTCGGAAGCCATGGAGACACTTTCCAAGATCACGGAGGAGATGGTCCCGGTCCCCGGCTCCGTGAACGGGGTCAATGCGCTGGGCCTGGTCGTCTTCTCCATGTGTTTTGGCTTCGTGATTGGAAACATGAAGGAGCAGGGCCAAGCCCTGCGGGACTTCTTCGACTCTCTCAATGAGGCCATCATGAGGCTGGTGGCAGTGATCATGTGGTGCGTATTTCCACGTGCTGAATATGCCCTGTTCAAGATGCGTGTTGCCGTCAGCACGGGTTCTGTTCTGAGGACGATGCCATCAGGCAGGGTGGCCATTGCAATGATCTCATCCTGATAAGCACAAGAAAAGCAATGACTCCTCCCCCACTCCCCCCGGAAAGGAAGATAGAAATATCAATGATGAGAGAGAATCATTGATCGGCTGCCTCCTGCACACTTCCCACTGGGTATCGAGCCCACAACCTGGGTGTGGGCCCTGACCAGGAGTCAAACAATGATCTCCTGGTCTACACTCAACCACTAAGCCACACCAGCCGGGCAAATCAGTGATTTTCTGGGCGTGCAGTGGTCTTGAACCCATCTGTACACCTCTCTTAATAACTTTGCTTCCCTGTTTTTGAAAGGCGTCAACTCCTTTATCCCGTGCTGATGGGATCCCCTCTCTCATTCCCCAATTTTAAATCTCCTTAGTTATTCGTGTAAGGCATATTTATCGAGTGTCTACTATATACCAAGCATATCCTGCCAGGCACTATGGATATAGCCATGAAGAAAACATATAAGAATATCCTGGATCTCACATTCTTTTAAGGGAGACAGAAGATAAACAAACAAATCAACCATATGCTTCAGTCACAGGTGCTGTGCATAAAAAAATAAAAGCAGCTTTTGTTTTATGTGATGTGATGTGATTAAAAAGTGACTGGGGAGGAGGCATCAAATTTGCCTTGAAAAGGCCTCTGAGGAGGTGACTTTTTTGCTAAGACCTGACTGACCAGGCGAAGACAACCATGCCAGGTACCAGGGGAAGAGCATTCCCAGTAGCAGGAGAAACAAACGTAGAGGCCCCTGGGCCCCCAGAAAAACTCTGACCCCCTGGTCTGTTTGAGCCCTAAGAAAGAAACCCAGTGTCTGCTGATGCCTGAGGCGCTCCGGGGCAGTAGTATAGAGGGCCAAGCCACAACTTATCACAAACGCCCTTCAAATGAAGTGGGGAGCAAGGGGCAAAGGAAAAGACTAAATCCAAAGAGGAACGTTGACCTTGAAAAGTAAATTCTCTCCAGTGGGGAGAAAGCCCTTTGATTGCTTTAACCTTTATTTTTAATCCAGACGCCTGCTTGGCACCTGAGGCAGGAAGCCATCCATTTCTGAGACAAATACTCACCAACAGGATTAGAAATATTCTTTGTCTTTATTGCCACCAAAGCCAGAGACGTTCATTTTTCAGGGGTTTCCACAAGATGGACATGAAAACTCGGGCACAAAGACCGGTCAGAATGTGGTCTCCACAGGAGCCCCCAGATGAAATCCTGGGGGCCCTCCTTTGAAATCCTGGCAGGGCTGAAAGTGGGCATTTGTCTTCATATTATTAAAATGCCTGCACCTTTCACCTCTTTTATGAAAGGAGCCCATTCAGGGCTGCTGAATGAACCTCACATGGCGCGTTTCTCGCTGTGCATTTTGCCTGCACATTCAACGTCGAGTTATTCAACATTTCTGCAAGCAGGTTATCTTGTAATTCCCTGGCCTGTGTTTTCAAAGGACTTCTAAAGGCAGCATTGTATTTTTCTATCTGAAATGTGTTGCCCCCACTTCCCAGCAGCCCCCTCTCCTTCGGAGCACTGGCCTCTCAGGTGCGGGTCATGTGAGTTTGGTTGTCCTTGACTGCCCACGTCGGAGGAGGTCGAGTGCTGGGCAGCGGGTCCTTTAAGCAGCCGGGGTGTTTGAACGTGTACAAGCCATTCTTTGTCTCCGGCGTTCATTCTTGCTGAGTCTACGGGGGAAGGATCGCAAGGGGCAGTAGCCGCCTGTGGCTAATCATTACTTAATGAGAACACCTGCAACCTGGTTGTGGCGGATACATGCGTGTTATTCATTTCAATAGCTCTGAATTTAGTTTATGGTTGCCTTCTACACGTGGCAAGCGGTACTGGTTTTCCATTGGCACTGTAACAAAATCTCCTCTTAGGAGAACTTTGAGTAAAAGAGTTGAAGATGAATATGAAGTAATAATGTGAGTCGTGTGTAAGGTGGGAAGAACTAAGAACGGTGTCCTGGAATGAGAGAGCTGCCTGCCAGTCCAAGACACTGACGGGCACCGTGCGCCTCTTGCTGTCGCTTGGGGCTTGGGCTCTGCGGGGGGGGAAATGTGTCCTAAAGTCTGGGTTTGGGTGGGTTCTGGCGGTTCAGAGCACCTAGCGGGGAGCAGGAGGCAGCGAAGTGGGTGGCATCTAGGGACCCAGATGTAGAGAGAATTATCTAGGAGAAAAGAGGTGGGTAACCAAACCTCTGTCCTTGTCTTTTCTTACCAATGAACCTAGAGAAATTCTGGGTGAGAGGAAGGCCTAATTCCGCAGTGTTTATATTTAAATTTATATTTAAAAAAGAAAAGAGAGAAGCACACATTTTCTCCGAGCGCTAACAGCGGTCCTGGGTGGGAAGGTTTGGCTAGAACTCTGTGCCACTTTCTCTCCTCCCTGGGTCCCTTCTGCAGCCGGGCCTGTTGGCAATCAGAGTGCCGACTGTCCCGTATCCTCCGCACAGGTACGCCCCCCTGGGCATCCTCTTCCTGATTGCAGGCAAAATAGTTGAGATGGAGGACATGGGCGTGATCGGGGGCCAGCTGGCCATGTACACCATGACGGTCATCATCGGCCTGCTCATCCACGCCGTCATCGTCCTGCCCCTCCTCTACTTCTTGGTGACGCGGAAAAACCCTTGGGTTTTCATCGGAGGGCTGCTGCAGGCGCTCATCACGGCGCTGGGAACCTCCTCCAGGTGTGTGTGTGGCTTACTCCTGTTGGAACATGGACCTCAGACTTGACTGTGAGCCAGAATCCTGGGGTTCAGGTGGAGGGCCTGAATCCTGGGGACCCTGGTGGGGAGGGCAGGTTTAGACCTCCAGGCGTAGGAATTGGCATTTTCACTCCAGATGCTAATCAGACTCCCTTTGGGATTCAAGGGATGGCTGGCTATATACCTGGGGGGGGGACAAAATGGAAACAGACTCTCCTTCCCGGACTCTCCTTCCCGTTGAGCTGGCCTGAGGGAGAGATGGCAGTCACCTGGCCCAGGCTGTGGTGACGGGAAATGATGACAAGTGAGGCCTCACAGAGGATCCAGAGGCAGGAGAGTTGCCAGGGGACCCAATAAGAGGACCACCACTGTTCCTGACCAGGCTCCCCTAATTCTATGGGCGCGGACTCACTTCCTTGAGCAGGAAGGAACTCTGTGTCCAAAACACCAAACACTCAGGCCCGGTCCGCACCATCAGGATGGTCAGCTGACATGCCCTGTGTTACTGTCCTCAGCTCGGCCACCCTGCCCATCACCTTCAAGTGCCTGGAAGAGAACAATGGTGTGGACAAACGCGTCACCAGGTTCGTGCTCCCGGTGGGGGCCACCATTAACATGGATGGGACCGCCCTCTACGAGGCTCTGGCTGCCATTTTCATCGCTCAAGTTAACAACTTCGACCTGAACTTTGGACAGATTATTACGATCAGGTACAAGGAAAGTTCTACACATTTTCTTAAGAATCACTTTCAATGATGAGACAGTGATCAGGGATCAGGTGAAGAAACTGGTGGGAAGGGACTCACACGTAAATGGGAGGTCAGGGTTTGTGGGAATAGGTTTATTTTTGATATTTAGTTATTTTTCCTTACTGTTTTTTTAATTACAGATGTGCATATTCATTAATCATGAAAGTCTAATAATATAGAAATGTATAAGGTCAAACATGAAGCTGGCCTGCCACCAGCACTCCCCACCATGCTGTAGGTGGCACTGTGCATGTTTGTTGTATAAAGAATCTTGCTTATGCGGAGACATACACACCCTTTTATTTGTGGTTAATGGAATCACACCACACATAGCACTTGCCACTTGATTGATCTACTTATTAGTATATCATCTATAAATATACCTAGCTCTTTCTCTTTGAAGAAATACACAGATATATGTAATACATAGAAATAGAAAAATACATCTTTCTGCAGAACAGATAGTATGGATATTTCTCACTCTAGTTTTAAAAGGCATTAAAAAATGAAGTAACAGTGACTTCAGTAAGACAGAACTGCGTTTCTCTCGTGTGGGGCTCTGCTCCACAAGCCCTCGTGGCTGGGAGATGTTCCATGTGTACCAGGCCCAGGCCTGTGGTTCCATTGTCCCTGGGGCGTTACCCTCACCCAGATGGTCCAAGGTGGCTCATCGCCACCTCCAAATGTTAGCCATAGGGAAGAAGAGGCGGTGCACAGTCTGCTTGATCACTGTCATGCATGTCTCATTGGCCAGAGCTGTGTCTAAAGGAGTCCAAGGGAGGCTGGGAAATGTAGTCTTCACTCTGAGCAGCCATACACCAGCTACAAATCCCAATACCATGGAAGGGGACCAATGTGGGGGATCCATGAACAGTCTCTTATTACTTTATCAATACTTTACACCTAGGTAAGACTCAACTACTTTTAAAACACGTTCACATTCTCACACCCGCCTATCAAATAGGCATTTAACAAACGGAGCCCCAGACAAGGGTATGTGCCTTACAAACTGGGTCCACACTGTCTCCATACAAAACATTTATAATTCTACAGAACTTAGTTCATAATCATTTTGCTTTTTCATTGATGAATCTGATTTTCTTCTGACCTCATTAACCATGCAAGTTCCGTATGTTTACAGTCCTCCACATGGACAGAGAAATTCTTAGAAACAATTTGTTATTGAACTATGCAGTATTTTAGACCTTACAAAATACGTTCAGGTACGTGAGAAGTCTATAGCCACCAGTTTCTTCATTTAGAAATGGCAATCATAATAGGACCGACTCCCTGAAGGTGGTTGAGGATCAAATGAGCTAAGCCATGTCTAGCATATCAGATGGCACACAATAAGCCATTCATAAATGGTAGTGAACGTGAGGGTTAGTTCAATGGGTTTCCTACAGGCTCACGGTTTTCTAAAGCACGTCCTCGTCTGTTCGCTTGGCAAGTCAGACGTTGCGCTGGGTGTTTGCAGGGCAGTGGGGGATTTTCGTACAAATGGTTTCTGTTTGGGAACTTCTTTTAACAGCATCACAGCCACGGCGGCCAGCATCGGGGCAGCTGGGATCCCTCAGGCAGGCCTGGTCACCATGGTCATCGTGCTGACCTCTGTGGGCCTGCCCACCGACGACATCACGCTCATCATCGCGGTGGACTGGTTCCTGTGAGTAAGCTCGGACTGTGTCGGCTGCTGCCGTAGGGCGCCCCCCTGTCAGCCTAGGGCATAGGGCACCTGGCACGCCTGCCAGAAGGGCTCCCCAGGGAGGGGCAGCCAGGCCAGCTATTAAATTGTCTTTATCGCTTGAGCCCGAGCCCCAGACGCCAGGTGGGTTCAGTCCCTCAGCAGCCTGTGGGCACATGTGGCTGCTGCACTTCTCACTCCATAAAGCCACTCGGGGATTGGGAAACCCGCCGTCCGCAGAGCCAGCACAAGCCAGCAAGGCCCTTTCTGGATTGCACAACCTTCCCGCGGCGGGAACAGAGCGGCAGGCCTCCCTCCACGCTGGCCGGGCCGTCCTCCTGTGCTTCCGTTCCAATGGCGTGATGGGCAAGAGGGTCCCCTCTGAGCCCAGCAGGGAGCGGCAGCCCGGCAGGCACTGGGGGGAGAGCCAGCACCCTTACGTGGAATTGACTTTGGCTCTGGGGAAGGTTCCAACAAGGACCCTCCAGGCCCCACTCCTCACCCTTCCAGCTGACATCCTCCGCCTGTTTTCTCTCATAAGTCCCCATCCACTTGCAGCAATATCTCCCCGGGTTCCCAAAGTGAATGCCTGCAGGGACACTGTCCAGGCGGAGTCAACACAGGTTGACGTCACCAGGTCTAATGACCCCAGAGCCCTACTGTGTGCCCACGGCAGGACGGGTGCAGCGGTTGGGGGAGATCAGCTGCGAGCATGAGTTCCACGTCACGTGGATCTGTGTTCACATCCTGGCTCTGTGACACGGGGCAAGTTACCCAGCCACCCTGGCTTCTCCTCTCATCTACGTGGGTCATCTGTATCAACACGTAGCAGATTAGAAAAACAGAAAGTCTTAAAATGTGGCCTTCATCTAAAGGTTACAATAATAAATCTGTGACATGTGAACATACATCACATTTTTATGAGAAAAATCATTTTCCAAACCAAAAATTTAGTGGAAAGAATGATATCATTTTACATTTCTGCAAATCACCTTAATGTCTGGCTTTAATGCAAGACGGCTGGGGTCTCCCGGCTGCTTCTGTATTCAGTCGGTTGCATCTTTTGTTGTAGTCTTTGCAAAACTCTGCTAGACATGCTTGAGGAGATGAGAGTTAAAAGGGCAAATGACCTCCTAGCATTATTATGAAAATAGTTTTGGCCTCAGGGACACCCAGGGGGTCTCTGGACTATACTTTGAGAACCGCTGGTGTAAAGGAAGGTGAGTTGTAGGAAAGAGAATCAAAGAGAAATTTTAAATAAAAGGAGAAAGGGAAGGATCATTCCCCACTGTTGGTACTCTAGTAACTGAAAATTAATCATCTATAGGTCCTTATAACTTGTAATAACTGCTATTATAAAAGCGATGTTTAGATTATATAATGAGGTTGGGGGATACACCACGCAGAATTTTAAGAGATGCTTCCAAACTTCCTGGGGGTTTCAAAACACGAGCTGGAGTCACCTAATGGAGCCTCATTGTTCCTTCTCCCCGCCTTCCCCAGGGACCGCCTTCGCACCACCACCAACGTGCTGGGAGACTCCCTGGGGGCCGGCATTGTGGAGCACTTGTCTCGACATGAACTGAAGAACCCCGATGTGGAGATGGGTAACTCAGTGATCGAAGAGAACGAAATGAAGAAACCCTATCAGCTGATTGCCCAGGAGAGCGACGCTGAGAAACCCATCGACAATGAAACCAAGATGTAGACTAACAGAAAGAAGTGCTCTCTTGAGCACCAGGGTTTGAAAACCATAACAAAATGTTTCCATCTCGTTACAGCTTATCCTCTCCAGGAAGCCCCTTACTCCCTGTCCTCCCAACTCTGGTAGGATTTGCAAGTGCGCATCCAAACACGAGGGAGGGTGTGGCAGCGGCCAGCATGTGTAGTGTTCATCCCGCATTCGAAGGTTTCAAGTCATTTCATGTTAGTCTTCTCTAAGAAGGTACCGAGATTTAAAAAAAAAAATAGTCTTGATCAGATTTTGCAAGTTTATGTGACACACAATCCTGTAAATGTGATTTTTTTATAAGTTAGAGTCAAGCAAATAGTAGGTTAAACATGCGCTTAAATCAACTTTCAAACTTTGAAAGTCCTTCAGAACACACTTCAACTTTAGGATCAAAACAGAACAACTTGATAAACTGCACTTGGCTTTCAGTTGGACAGAAGGCTTTTCTCCCCTTTCTGTCCTGATTTGTGTGTTTGTTTTATTAGTAGCAGGACCATATGAATCCACACCTAGCACAGCTGTGAGGAGGTGCATAAAGTGAACTTTCCATGTGGCCATGGGCAAGTTACGTGTTATCTCTAGGCCTCAGTGTCCTCATCTGTAAAATGGGTGAGTTCCCTAAACGCCTTCGTGGTCACTTGTAACCCAAATATCCTGTCCTCTATTTCCCCTGGGAACATCCAGTAGCAAGCATCATCCCATGGATGTTGATGGGGAATGAACGCTTCTGAGTAGGGCCAGGATGTGGTGTGGGTTGCCAGGTCCTGTATACAAAATGTCAGCTGTACACGTCACCAGGTCAGAGGAGGCGTGGAATTATTCACAATCTCTCCACTCAGTTCTTCCCGACGGGGAGTTTTCCCTTCTTCCTACCCTTCCCTGGACTGGTCTGGGAAGGATATTTCCCACCACTCCTCAACTGACGGTAGACTTTTAGAAACTAAAATGTAAGACTAGCAACTAGCGAGGGTGCTCGTGGTCTTACTGTGGAACAGGAAAGAGCCAGCTAGGGAAGAACAAAGCAGAGTTGACATTCGAAAGAGAGGATTTTTAAGTATCAAGGTTATATAGAGGTCATCTTTAAGGAAGAATTTTTTAATGAAAAAGGTTCTTTTTTTTTTTTTTTTAACCAGAAACACTTTTTCTCTTCAGTTCAGAAACATTCCTCAAGGAAGTCTGCATATCAGAATATGAGATTCCTTGTTATATATTTTAAACAAGTCAAACGAATGAGCGCTCTCTCTAATAGAGGTCTGTGAGCTGGGTGGGTGGTCTCCCATTTGAAAAGGTTTTGGACTATCATCAAAAGTTCTTGGAATGAGGGAAACAAGATATGTCTTTGTGTTGGAATTCCACCTAACCATTCAAAACCTTCCGCTGGAGTGGGGTTTTGCTTGGTTTTATTTGTGTCCCTGAGAGAAATGGTAGGCGAGGAATCAGTATAAAGACATGGTCAATGTGGTTCCAAGAAAAAAACGGCCGGGGCGTTGGTTCAGGCAAGGCAGCTCCCGGGTTTAGAGATTAATTTTTCCCCCCTGAGGAACATCCGGCCACATACATGGAGCGGGAGCTGTCGGACGGTGCCAGCCAGCGGTGTTTGAGTTTCTGACCGAACATGGTGGAGGGTGGACTTAATGATGCTAACAGACTGAGAAGCTAGACATGCGTCCTCCGGTTTGCAATTAGAGAGATTTGTATATAGACTCCGAGCATTATGTATGCGTAAAAGTTAACATTAGGCCGGTGTGCAGTAACCCTTTAATGTCGAGGCTCTATTTGGGGAACACGCTACAGAAGTTCCTGTGCGCGATGTCATCTTACACCGGTAGAGCAAGAATTAATCGTGTCAAATGACTTGTTACGCGACGTGATCACTTTTATACACTAACCATTTCTTAGGGAGCTGAGCGCAAGGCCTCTAGGCCGAGCCTCTCGCCCGCCCATCACAGGCTCTGCGGGGTCACGCACCCAGGTGGGCGGGGAGCCTTACCTTGTAGATGTATTTTCAATAAAGAAAAACTAGTTTTACATGACACCTGTGCACGTTGTTATTGTTATTCTCCCTGAAGGAAAACAAGCTTTCCTTTCAGGAAAGTCTCGCAGAGAGCTCTGAGCAATGTTTTATTTCTTTTACGAGCTAAAATCTATTCAGGACCAGGTCGGGGAGCTGGGCACAAGGAAATGAGTTAAAAAAAAAAAAAATCAAAACCCTCTCCCTGCCCACCTCTGAGATCTGGACTGGGAACAGGAGGGCGGGGAGTGAAGCATTTCTCAGACAAACCAACCATTTCCACGTTGACATGAGAAAAGCGGAATGCCACCGTCGGTTCTTCTGGAAAAAGTGATTTCCTGTCTGATCTTGAGATCAGGGAGGTTTACCTATGTGATTACGGCTGCCACTTGTGAAAGCTGCACGCGGTCCTCACGGAACAGGTCAGACACAGCCATCGTGCTGGTGAGTTCTCGTCGTGAGGACGGACTTGGGATGCCCGGCCCTTTCCCATCCGGCCTTTTAATAGATAACTGGCAGGCGGAGTCCTGAGGGCCCAGGCCGGGCTTGCGTCTGGAGACCGTTTAATCCGACCCTCTGCCTTCAGGACAGACCCCTGAGGAGGGGCCGCTAACCCCTAGTCAGTGATGGCGAACCTTCTGAGCTCGGCGCATAAAACAAAGACATATTTTTGATATTTATTTTATATATTTAAATGCCATTTAACAAAGAAAAATCAACCAAAAAAATGAGTTCGCGTGTCACCTCTGACACACATGTCAGAGGTTCGCCATCACTGCCCTAGGTCATCCGCGTGAAGACTTCCGTGAGTCCCCCGAGCCCTTGAAATCATGGGAGAGTTTTGTGCGTTTGCCTTTGTCTGGGGTAGAAATCTTTCATTTTCACCCATTTCTCTAAAGGAACTTTTGACCCACAAATGAACAAACCGCTGTTTGATGGGTACACCCTGACTTTCCCCAGGCATCTGTGTTGTTGGGGGCCCTGGGAGGAAGCTGCCCAGCTCAGGCCCCCTGAGGGAGCCACACCGGCACACCTGGGCACACCTGGACACAGGTGTCAGGGGAGCAGGAAGAGATGGACGGCCGCTAGGAGGCTTCCCACTGAGGCCACGGTTTCCTTCTCTGCTCGCAGCTGGTTTGCCGCCTGCACCGCCTCTGAAGCTGGTCGGAGGGGAAGATGGTGGAGGCTTGCTGCCTGGAGGGACAGGGCAGCTGTCAGTGTGACTTCGATGCTGGGGGAGCAGCACCCATCTCTCTCTGCGGGCGGTAGGACAGGTCTGTCCCCAGGTGGAGCCATGGGCAACTCTTAGGTTAACGTGTTTCACGTGTTTCTGATAAGAAACTGCATTCCTACCAGACGTTTTAAGTCCTGCACTTTGAGGCGTTGGGGTCCTGCCCATGTTTTCCCTTCAGCGCCACTGTCCCCCATCCCTAGCAGGATCTATTCCCAGGCTGACAAGTCTCACTCTCCCAGGAAAATCCTTTTTGTGAGTTTTCATTCGCACACACCACGCAGTGAATGGCGTGTGGGTCCGAGGAGCGCTTGGAGGAAGGGCTGGCTTCCGCGGGGTGGGAGCGGATGGAGGAGGGTCCTGCAGTCGTTGGGGAAGGGGGGCCCGGGCCCTCCCTCCGGGCGCCCGCGGGGCGCTGTGACCCGACGCTTCTGTCAGTCATCCGACCTTCTCCCAGCCGGGTGGTCCCAGCACTGGGGCAACAATGACCCGCTCTGTGTGGCCTCTTCCGGGGCCAGAGCAGCTGGGGGATGTCACCCCGGAGGCAGGCTCCGAGGAATGAGCCCCCGGATTTTTGTTTCTGTTAACAGATGCGGCATTCCAAAAGAACTCACTGCCCTCATTGGGATGGTAGAGAGCGCTGGAGCCATGAAAGCTACAGTGGAAGCCACAAACGGAAGAGGAGATCCCACAGTGCTTCGGAATGGAAAGCGGGGTGAGAAATCTGGGGGGTGATCGAGGGCGGTTAGGGGCGATCCCCAACATGGCCACCAGGGGGCGCTCGGGGCCCTTCGAGAGGAGGGACTATTTCCTCCGAAAGGGAACTGGCTTTAAGTGCCTATGGCAGTGGTTCTCAACCTTCCTAATGCCCCGACCGTTTAATACAGTTCCTCATATTGTGGTGACCCCAACCATAAAATTATTTTCGTTGCTACTTCATCACTGTAATGTTGCTACTGTTATGAATCGTCATGTAAATATCTGATATGCAGGATGTAGTTAGGCGACCCCTGTGAAAGGGTCCTTCGACCCCCAAAGGGATCGC